TATTTTGTCAAAAGCCTTTTCTGCATCAATAGAGATAATCCTGTGGTTTTTGACCTTGGCTCTAATGATACAATGAATGACATTTATTGATTTACGTATGTTAAACCAGCCTTGCATCTGTGGGATGAAGCCTACTCAGTCATAATGTATGCTTTTTTTTTTTCTGATTTGTTTCTGGATTCTGTTCGCTAAAATTTTATTGAACTATATGCTTATTAAGAATTTCTGTCTTGTTTCTAAATCTGCTTAGGAACATTCAACTTCTTAGTTGTAACTTTGTAATGTAGTAGGCTGTTATACAAATCTGTCCTGTGAAAGTAAGGCAACTGTATTTTCTACATAAACTGCTTTGGAATGCCTTGCAAGGAGTCAGTGTCACTAAGTCAAATGCAGAACAACTGTCATCAGATTAGGTGTGGAGAGGACTATTACAGTTTAGGAAGATCTTGTTCTGTTTTAAAGAAATAGAAAGTGGGGCTGGGATGTAGCTCAGTGGCAAAGTGCTTGCCTAGCAAGTGCAACGTCCTGGGTTCAATCCCCAGTACCAAAAAAGAAAAGTCAAAGAAAATACAGTTAAAAAAAAAAAAAGAAATAGAAAGTGAAATTGTATATGCTACTTTGGGTCTCTGATAGGGATGAAGCTGACTCATCACTTTCCCCAACAGACCGGCACTTAAAGAAAAGGTCAGCTCTCATTCATAGTAGCAATCAGTTAAAACTGTCACTGATTTAAGGTGAAATAAAACATTTAAGCTTTTATCTGTGGCAGTTATCTGTTACAATTTAAGAAACTAAAAAGCTTTATGGTCTCAAATAACATCATTTGTTATTGGTCATTGTATTGAGTTAGTTTTCTGTTTTTGTGGTATTGGATGTGGAGCAGAGACAACTGGGTGATCCAAAATAGCTTAGTCACAGGTCTGTGGGTTGGTGCTGGCAGCTGGATTTGGACCTAGCTAGCGTCTCCTTGCTACCTCCCCTTGTGGGGATAGGCTTCTTACTTTGTGCCAGGTTCCCTCCTACTACAAAGAAGACCGCATTAAGGCTCAGGCTGGGTTTGCACCGGCCCAGTGTTTATTGCTGTATTCCATAAGTTAAAGCAATCACAAGGTCACCCCAAATTCAGTAGGAGGTGAACTCACAAGGAGTTGCTACCAGGAGGCCTTGCTATTCAGGCCACCAAAGTATAGTCTCCATGATGTATGTAAAGCTCTTAATCTGCTTGTTTCAACTTTAATGCTTTTCTGTATATATCTAGTGCCCTTGGATTAGCAGAACTCTACTGAATACTTGTATTCTTACTGCTAAGTGTGCAGTGTGGTAGGGATTTCAGCCCAGGTTAATCTGACCCTGGACCTTCATTACTTAGACCGTACCCATTACTACCATTTTGGTCAGCAGGTAGTCATGTTGTAGTATATATGGTACTACATACACACAGTACTACACACATAATACTACATACATATACTACTACATACATAAAGTATTTCATACATACTTACATATAGTACTACCCACATACATACATACTACCCGGTCAGCTGGTAGTCATGCTGTACATATAGTATTGTATACACACAAACAGTATTATATTTGTACCTATAGTACTATATACATACAGTACTACATACACTACTCCATATATACATATAGTATTATACACACAGTATTGCATACACACATACAGTACTACATTCACAGTATCACATTCATACATACAGTACCATATATATTCAGTACTCCATACACACACATACAATACTACTACACACATACAAAGAGAACTACATACATAGAGGACTACATACACACATACAGGGCTACATACCTGGGTTTCCAGGGCACAGTTATCACTTAAGCAGCACTACTATTAGAAATCAACAGTCTTTAATTTTTATAGCCTTCTAAAATATTCAAAAATGGAAATATGATTGCATGTTAGTTGACTTGGGATCATGATTAAAGTAGCAAAGATAAAATTAGCTTCCGTCATTCAACAAAGAGCACAGCGTATGCAGCATTGTATGATTTGGGGCCTGGAGAGGCACTGGTCAGGAGCCAGACACGCCCCTGCTCATGTGGTGCTTCACTTGTAGCTGGGGAGCTATGAAGAGCCCTTTCCTCTCTCATTCCCTCCCTCTCCTTCCATTCTTTGGTGGTAATATTGGGGATTAAACTACTTGCTGAGCAGATGCTCTACTACTTGAGCCACACCTCCAGGTCTGTTTTGGTTTGGCTTGTTCTTCAGACAGTTTCACACTTTTGCCTGGCTGATCTTAGACCTTGATCCTCCTTATTTCTATCTTTCAAGTAGCTGTGATTACAAGTGTGCAGTACCACTCCCATGCACGATACGATTAAAACAATCTATATTTTTTTAAAAGATCAATTTTGATGGGTGCTGGTGGCTCACGCCTGTAATCCTAGCTACTCTGGAGGCTGAAATCGGAGGATCACAGTTCAAAGCCAGCCTGGGCAGGAAAATCCATGAGACTCTTATCGCCAATTAATCACCAGAAAACCGGAAGTGGCGCTGTGGCTCAAGTGGTAGAGCGCTATCCTTGAGCTGAAGACCTGAGGGACAGCACCCAGCCTCAGAGTTCAAGACCCAGAGCTGACCAAAAAAAAAGAAGAAGAAGAAAAAAGATCAATTTCAGTTTAGAAAATGTCTGGATTCTATCCTGAAAAAGTCTTTGCTATATTTGTAGACTCTGTGCCTAGAATCCATACAAAAATTTTATAGTTAATGCTGTATAAACTGAAGCTTGACAGTGCATTTGGAGGTTAGCTAGTGAATTTCAGCTGTAGTTTCATAACTTGACTTTTTAGACCTTTTTTTTTTTTTGGATCTGGTTGTGGGGGCTGAACTCTGGGCCTGGGCGCTGTCCCTCAGCTCTTCAGCTCAAGGCTAGTGCTCTACCACTTGAGCCACAGCGCCACTTCCAGCTTTTTTCTTTT